TGACGCATGACGTATTCCGCTCTCCCTCTCCCACGCATTCGCATTCGCCGCTGGTAATCTCTGCTGCATTCCGTCCTGGGCGCCTGAAGAATGGCATATTGGTCCTCTTCCACTTGGTATCGCAATGCTGCCACCTTGAACACCGCCCTTCGGTCTTCCGGTTCACTGAGCCGCCTCAGTGGGGCTTCGAGCTGCTTGTCCCAGTTATTCGGACGGCGTGGTGGAAGTGCTTGTACTTCGAGTATAGGCTCACCGAAGAGGCAGGTCTAATCGCCAGTCAAAGTTGCCCGTTGAATTCAAATCTAACCTACGCCCCTCATAGAGAATTGTCTACATCTGGTATGGAGTCCCTTAGACCCACCCTCGCAGTCCAATGGCCTGTTGATGCTTGTTTCTAGAACCCCTTAGCGTCTAGTGAACTTTTTCTCCCTCTAAATCGCAGTTTTCATAGCCCTAGCTAACGCCTGATTAGGACATGTACAATCCCAACCCTCTTTGGTGAGACGATCTGTACTTGCATCAAGACCGAGGAAACCCGGTCATGAAGGCTTAGCATCCAGACCTTCCATAAGACGGGTTTCAACTAGCCAACAGGCGCTGTTCAACGCCAGCATGGACGCCCATCAGCCCCCAATGCATCGCGCATTCATCGCCTTCGGGAGCAATGTAGGCGACCGCATCGAGATGATCGAGGCCGCCTGTCGTGAGATGGAGCGAGCCAGTATCCTCGTCAAGAGAACTAGCTCGCTCTTCGAGACAGCTCCCATGTACGTTCTCGACCAGGATCCATTCATCAATGGAGTGTGCGAGGTTTGTCTATCTCTCTCTGCTCAAACCCCCAAAAACAATGCATCCGCAATGGTTCTTAACATCGATCTACAGGTAGAAACCAGCCTAAGCCCCATGGATCTCCTCGACACTCTGCAGTCCATTGAAATCGGACTGGGCAGAAAGAAGCTCATCGACAAGGGGCCCCGATCCATTGATCTGGATATCCTCCTGTACGATCAGCAGATCTTCTCCCACGAACGGCTCAGCATCCCACATCAACTGATGCTGGAGCGCGACTTCGTCCTTCGCCCATTGAGCCAGTAGGTTTTGACCTTGACGAACCCCTCTCACCGCGAAACAAAACTAATCACCCCCAGACTCATCCCCCACGAACGGCCGCCCTTCCCCGGCCACAGCACCACCTACCTCGCGCACCTGAAATCCCTCGCCCCGCCCACCCCCTTCCCCGTGGCCACCACCCCGATCTCCCCCACCTTCCCGGCCATCCACTCGACGGCCCCGAACCGCCGCACGCACATCATGGCCATCCTCAACCTGACGCCGGACTCGTTCTCCGACGGCGGGCGCCACTCCGCGCAGGACCTGGACGCACTCACGACGACGGTGCGCGACATGATCCACGCGGGGGCAACGATCATCGACATCGGCGGCGAGAGCACGCGGCCGGGGTCGCAGCCCGTCGGGGAGGCGGAGGAGCTGCGGCGGGTGGTGCCAGCGATCCGGCACATCCGGACGGCGATGCCGGAGGCGGCGGGCGTGGCGATCAGCATCGACACGTACCGGGCGCGAGTCGCCGAGGCGGCCGTCGCGGCGGGCGCCGACATCATCAACGACGTGTCGGCCGGGCTCCTGGACCCGGAGATGCTGCCCACCGCCGCGCGCACCGGCGCCACCGTCATCCTGATGCACATGCGCGGCAACCCCGCCACCATGACCAGGTTGACCGACTACCCTAACGGCGTCGTCCAGGACGTCGGCCGCGAGCTGCGCGCCCGCGTCGCCGCCGCCGAGGCCGCCGGCGTCCGCCGCTGGCGCATCATCCTCGACCCGGGCCTCGGCTTCGCCAAGAACGAGCCCCACGATCTCGCCCTCCTGCGCGACCTGCCCCAGCTCCGCACCGGCGCCGTCGAGGGCCTCGAGTACTTCCCCTGGTTGATGGGTCCCAGCCGCAAGCGCTTCGTCGGTCGCCTGACCGGCGTGACCAAGGCCAGTGACCGCACCTGGGGCACGGCCGCCACGGTCACGGCCAGTATCGCTGGGGGCGCCGATATCGTGCGGGTGCACGATGTGAAGGAGATGTGGCAGGTCGGGAGGGTGGCGGATGCCATTTATAGGGGAGTCGTATAAATTCCCTCCCCCCCACAAAAGTTGGTTCGTGTATAGGGTTTTTAACTGGTGGCTACGAATTATATAGACCGACAGTGTCCTTAGCACGTTGCATCCCATGAAACGAAGAAGCCACTGCTAGGCGTTTGCATTGATGCGGTTCATATTACTAGCAATAGCAAGCGACACTACTTATATGCAACGAATATACAAGAATCCAAGGAACGTTTCGAAGCTAGTAGCGAAACATCGTTGACGGTGATTTTGAAGACACACAGAAAAAGCGACGACTGACGAGGAAAGGCCGGTCTGGTCTACACCGCATCAAGTGATGACGGGGTCTAGGAGTCTGCACGTCCGGATGGAAGTGGACCGGGTGTTTGTCTGTCTAGGAATGGTACGAACCAGGGGAATAAAGTTCATGAGGATGGGAACGCCACATGTGAAGGAGATCGAAGATAGAATTGGCTAACAAAAAGGTTCAAGATGGGTGCAAGAAGCGGGGAATTGAAGGCGGTAGGTACGACAAAGGTAAAGGCGGCTCGTTTAGCTGTTAAGATAGCTGCGTATAGCACCTGTATAGCAACAGTTTGTCAGTTTGATTTTCTGCGGAGAGAAGGAGTACAATAAAGATTTACCCTGTAGCTTGACGGCACCATCTCCAACCAGCTGCGTGAGGTTCTCAAGATCATCACCGGCTGTGATACCGAACCGACGCACAAAGTCCTTCGCCGCGTTCTCGATGTCTCCATAGGTGTCGCTCTCGGCGGGAAGATCGTCCTCGGGACGGCCGAAGTAGGTGTTGCTGGAGATAGCAGTGGCTCCATCGAATTGACGAAGACGCTCCTTGGCCTCGGCTTGAGCGTTAGGATCGAAGCGATCCCGTCCAAAGAACTCGTCCGACGAGATGCCCTTCTGAGTGCCAAATCTAGACTTGGCCTGTTTCAGTTCCTCGTCTGTGAGACTATTAGCAACTGACACTACATCTATAAATAGACAGGACAACAAACCATCAGCAGCAGATCTGGTAGCAACAGCGCCAAAGCCCAACTTCTTCGGAGCAGGAGGCTTCGGTGCGCCGACAGTCTGTCCGAATCCCAGTCTCCCAAGGCCCATTCCAAGGCGCTCAACATCACCCGAGCTGCGTTCCTGAGATGTCCGCGAAGGGTTGATGGGGGTAGGGGAGGCAATGGGCGCTGCGGCGGTGGTGGCCTTCGCCTTGGACTCAGCCTCAGCCCGTTCGGCTTCGGGATCGTAACCCAGTTTCTCGATACGCTCAGCCTCTTCCTTGGCCTTTCTCTCCGCCTCGTCGAAATCGATCATGTCCGCACCGCTGACAATCTTCTTGGCCCCGAGCTTGGGGGCCTTTTTGGCGCCCAAGACACTGCCCTTCTTAGCAGTCGCGGTCGAGGAGGTCTTGCGAACAGCAGCACTGGCCCGGATGGCGGCCGGGGCAGGAGAGGCAGCAGGGCTGTCCTTATCGGAGGCGGAAAGCGGGGATTTGGAGCGCGAGCCGTTGGCACCGGAGTTCAGGAAGGGCGATGCGGTGCGACTCACGACGGGAGGGGTACCCGTGCGGGAAGGGGGGTTGCTGGGCCGCTTGATGGACGGCTTGTCCCAGGAGGAGAAGAAATCATCATCAGCGTCACCGGCCGGGGTGCTGGAGCCGTTGGACGAGGTGCCGACGGGGATGTCGGTGATCACCACTTCTTCGGGATACCTGATGAGGGAGCGTACTATTAGACCCCATACTGTACGAATTTCAACAGGCGATGTGCCTGCAAGGGACTACTCACTGTTGCGCATCCTGGGCGGCCCGTCTCTTCAGCTCCTCCTTATACTTGACGGCGGCATTGCATGTGTACTTGACCTTCGTGTCCTTGCTGGCCAGAGCGGCAGACCCTCCATGCGATTGGAAATACTTAGTGGCGGACTCGTTTCCACCGACTTTCATCATCCGGAGCTGCTCCCACTGCCATTCTATGCGCCAGTCGTTAGCATCACGATAGGACTGTTGGTCAGGAGTTGCGTACGGTCGAGGTTCGTGGAGCGAACAAAGGAGATGTGAACGCCCAGGTTACGGTGATTGGCCGAGCAGTCCAGACACAGGTAGATACCAAAAGGCACGGAGGACCATGTTGGGTTCTTGGAGCCACAATCGAAGCAGATCTGTGCGGAATCGAGTCAGTCCTGAGATCGGTTGCTAGGCGGGGAGGGGTACGGCGCACCTTGTTTGCGGGTTTAAGCTTGAGTTTCTCAAAGATCTTTTGAGACTCCGCCTTGGAGGCAGACATGATGGCTGGTGTTGAAAAGAAGGAGACGACTCAGAATAGGAGACAGAATCCGAGTAGATGTTGAAGACAAAGGGAGGGGGAGAGGGCAGATCGGTCGGAGATGAGGGAGAACGACAGGATCCAAAAAGCAGCCCGGGAGGAGCGAGCGAACGTGGTCGGATTGGGACTGAGAGTACCACCCCCGTATTTTTCACTTTAAGCTAGTGGCACTTCTGCAACACCACACCTTGCTCGTTGTGGCAAACATAGGAGACATACAAACAAACAAGCGCGAGCTTCGAAGAGAAAATCACTGGTTCAGCTAACAGCAACTCAATTGAGTCCTACATGTCTTCTTGATTAATAAGTTGACAGTAGTCCCTCGTAGTATTCATATCTTGACATAGCGCTACTACCTACAGTACTGTACATCCCTCCTGCCCAGAGCGGGAAACGTATTGCAAATACGAGAGGTTTGTATGCAACGGCGGCGGCTGAAACCAGGCCAGGGCCCTTTCGCACGTGACCCACTCCGATTCCGCACCCCCACACGCTTCTTTCAATCCAAGTCGGTCTTTGCCGTCGCCGAATGGGATCGATCCGTCCATGGCTTGCTTCATTTCTGCCCGGCGGGAACAGTAAAGATTGCGCTGCTTCGTCTGCCCATGTTCACCAACTCTCAACCACTACAGCCACCCTTCGTTCCATGAGGCCTTTACTGGTACTCAGACTAGTCCCTCACCACAATGCTCTCCCACCTCCGACCTAACCCCCCTGCCCTCTTCCGGGCCTCCTCCGCCGCCACCGCTCACCTCCTGCGTCCAGCGCTTCCCCGCACGACCGCCCTCGCGCGATACTATGCGACCTCAGGCCCCGGACCCAACCCGACCCCCAAACGAAGGAACGTAACCGTCCTGTCCGACGATGGCCGGTACGAGTGGGGGGAGCTGAGCGGCCGGGAGAAGGTCGCGCGGGCGACACAGCAGTCGGTGAATTTCCTCGTGGTCGTCGCTGGTGCCGTGTTGACGGTGAGTTTCGGGCAGTCGCTCGCACAATCCCATTACGCCTTTCGCGCGTCTTCTGAGCGGAACCTAACGGGTCGACTACTAGGGTGGAGTGTTCTACCTCCTCTATACCGAGGTCTTCTCCCCCAACAGCAAGACCTGGCAGTTCGAAAAGGCAGTCGAGCGCATCAAGGATGACCCGCGCTGTACGGAGCTCCTGGGTGATCGCAGGGAAATCAAAGCGTACGGGGATAGCACCTGGAGCCGATGGGCGCGGAACCGACCGATTGCGTAAGAGGCCAATACCGCATATTCTTTTTGCGAGCGACCAACGCCCCCCCCCCAATGCTGACTTGCATGTGTCTGTGTGCAGGACGTCCGTTTTCCAGGATCGCATGGGCCGCGAACATCTGAAGATGAATTTCCATGTACGTTTTGTCTGATTGTTACTGTTCCCATTGAGTGGTGGCTTTTGAGTTCGGGATTACTGACTGTCTGCGTGGTGAAGGTTGAGGGCCCTCTCAACACCGGTATCGTGTTCGTGCATATGATGAAGCCCCTGGATCAGTATGAGTGGGAGTACCAGCTGCTTGCTCTAGAAGTCAAAGGTGAGTGCGAGTGTTTTTTTTGGGGGGG